CAAACTTTTGCAGGGCAACCCCTAAGAAGTTTTCAGTTGCATTGTACAACGCTGGACACAAGGACTGAAGGTCCTTTGGCCGCGCAGCCCTGGACATGGAGGCAAAGCTTCATGTTCAGGCCCCATCCTCTGACAGGAGGAAAGGTGCCTTCCCTAGAGGTGGTAGAAAGGGAAAGGTAGCCTTCACTCATGCAGGATCTGCATCAGGTTCAGATTCAGATTCCTAGGCTGATACACCTTCAGCTGGGACTGGATCTGTTGCTGATACAGATGTTGCAGCAGCCCTGACTCAGGCTGTTTTGGGAGTTCTGCAGCAGCGGAAGAAGTTTTCCCCCATCACAGCCTCAGCCAGTGCAAAGGGGAAGGAAAAGGGACATCGGCCTTCCTCTTCCCAGCGCCCTAACTTGCCCAAAGACGTTTGCATGCCAGCTGACCCACTCAATCCCTCCACACTCCCCTGGCATGACCTCAAGATCCAGGAGGGAGTCTGGAGAAGAAGGAAGGAGAGAGGGGTCTGCCTGAGATGTGAGGGACACTTTCTGAAGGACTGCCCTTACATGCCAGGCCCAGGGCACTCAAAAAACTGAAACAGACCCTGGGGACTGCAGTTCCCCCCAGTGCTGCACCATCATCTACTCAGGTAGGTGAATCTGCAGCTGTTTCAGTTAAGACTGTATGTGACAATGTTTGTTTGGGGACTGCGCGGGCAGCATCCTTCTGCTATGAGGATCCTGACCCGGATCAGGACCCGGGGCAAGATGAACTTCAGTCACTTGCTGCCTTCTTCCTTCATCTGAAGGAACAGAAGAAGAGCAAGTCTGATCTCATCTTACTTCGGCCCCTGATCAACCGCACCAGGATCACTGGGCTATTGGACTGCGGAGCCACCAGGAACTCCATGTCTCCCAATGCAGTTAAAAAGTTGCATCTGGGCATGAAAGTTCAGCAGCTGCAGCAACCGCTGCTGGTAAGGATTGGTGACTCTACAGTACTCATCATCAGGGAGAAGGTCAAGGGTATCCCTGTGATCTTCGGCAGTGCTGGAGAAGTCAGACACAGTCTGAACTTCTACATCTTCCTTGAACTACCCTTTGATTTGGTGTTCTCCATGCAGTGGCTGAAGGCAGTCAGCCCCAGGATCGACTGGCAGATCCCAAAGGTTGAGCTACCTAATAGCCAGGGGGTGTATCAGCCATGCATGATTGCTGCTGATCATCACCCTAAAACCTCTTGCTACTGCCTGAGAGCGAGATAGTTTTACTCTCTCTCACGCCAGTACGACCATGAGCGTTTGTTCATAGCTCCTGTCAAGCAGACTGACGCTCCCCCTGTTTCCTGTCCTCCTGAGATACAGCAGGTTGTTGACAAGTATGTTGATATGATGCAGGAGCCCTTTGGATTACCCAACCAGCCAACCAAGCATCGCATTGAGCTACTGCCTGCATCAATCCCTCCCAAGGGCCGCATCTACAGGATGTCCCCTGCTGAGCTAGAGGAGCTCAGAAAGCAGCTTGAGACCCTAACCAACAAGGGCTGGATTAGACCCAGCACTTCTCAATTCGGTGCATCAGTTCTCTTTGTACCCAAAGGGAATGGCGAGTTCAGAATGTGTATTGACTACAGGGGTCTCAACAAGATCACTAGGAAGAGTACAGAGCCACTTCCTAGGATCGACGACCTCCTGGACATGGTGCAGGGCTGCACAGTGTTTAGCAAAGTCGACCTCAAATCTGGCTACCACCAGATTGAGATGGCAGAGGAGGATGTCTACAAGACAACCTTCAAGACCAGGTATGGGACTTACAAGTTCCTGGCCATGCCATTTGGACTTTGCAACGCCTCAGGCACCTTCCAGACAGAGATGCACCGCATCTTCAGGCCTTACCTGGACAAGTTTATGGTTGTCTACCTGGATGATATCTTGGTATTCAGCAAAACTGCCAGAGAACATGCGGAGCACTTGGCTTTGGTTCTTCAGTCATTATGCGACAGCCAGTACAAGATCAACAGTGAAAAGTCTTATTTTGGAGTTCCCTCTGCCATCTACCTGGGTCATGTAATCTTTGGAGATGGCCTAGCTCCTGAAGCAGCCAAGATTGCTGCTATTCAGAAGTGGCCTCAGCCACAGACAGTAAGGGATGTTAGGTCCTTCATGGGTTTAGCCTCATACTACAGAAATTTTGTCAGGAACTTTTCTGTAGTGGTTGCACCCCTGACCAACCTAACAAAGAAAAACACTTCTTTTCTTTGGTCCCTTCCCTGTCAGTTGGCCTTCACACGACTCAAGAAGGCCTTGACTCGTGCACTTGTGCTGAAGCTACCTGACCCCACTTTGCCATTCATCCTGACCACTGACGCCAGTCAGTATGGCATTGGGGCAGTTCTTCAGCAGGATGATGGGAATGGTCTACGACCTGTAGAGTTTATGAGTAAGAAGATCAAAACTCAAAAGCTCCAGGACTCCATCTACGAGAAAGAGTTATATGCTCTTGTCTATGCCCTGAAACACTGGAAGCACTTTCTCCTAGGAAGACACTTCAGATCACTCCACCCTACAGTGGATGAAGTCCCAGGGAGAGTTGAATGATAAATTGGCACAGTGTAGGGGCCTTACCCTGAAGGACTTTCGAGCCTTGGTCGACCCCACTGCGGGTCCAACTTGGCTCGACCCGCCCACGCTCACGCTCAGGGCGCGGGTCGTTCGTCCCAGGGGCACCCCCACCTAGTGCTTTGAGATGGATGGGGGTGGGCCAATTGCGAGAAGGCTTTACATTGGGGGATGTAGCTGCGCTCTCGCGTCAAGATGGTAGCTCTTTGGCACTCGTGGCGTTTTCTCGATTTAGTTAAGTCTGACCAAGCAATTGCTCCTTCCAATACGCAAGCAGTCCAGGGAGTTTATTGAAGGTTTGTCTTTTTATCATGCGCAGGCCAAGCGTCATCCATTGGGCCACGCACCTTTTCACTAAGTCTAGTGGCTCAAGACATCCCCTACGGCATCCTTGGGGTGGGGTGGCATCGCCCGGACCCCTAGCCGCTATGATTTTTTTGCTTGAGCCACCAAAATTGCATTCACCTATCCTCGACTGCCCTTAGTCCTTCCGGGCTTGCATTGCATTCAAGAGAGCCATTGCATTCAATCATCACACACGCCCCATCCCGGCGTCCACCACTCATTCAAGCATCCGACCATCCAACCCATCCTGCATTCATAGCTTAAGCGGGGTCTATGTCCTTCCCTCGTCGCTTTCCTTATTCCCGCCCGCATCCGGCGGACGCAGTCCCGCCCAGACCACCCTAGGCTACTCACCTGCGCAAGACCACACAAAGCAAAAGCCAGGTACAATCCCCGATGGGGTCAACACATTGCCCCTCCCACAAGCCTAAGTCCCTTTTGCCTTTGATGATCCTTTAGTTATCTTTCCCTTCACTCAAGCAAGCCATGCCTTCACCTTAGTCATGTAGTCGGGGAAGATGGTTGAGTCAAACTGACCTCGTCCACAATCAGCGCTCCTTTTTGCTTCCGCAAATGCTCTCAATAGTTCCGTATCCTTCCCTTCTTGGTGGCACAAGGGACCGACTGCCCTTCCCTTGCCCTCACTTTCCACCAAGTGAGGACTAAGTTCCTTCCCGTTCGTTCCCTGACAATGTAACAGGTGAGGGTGGAGGTCAGTCACATGCCATGGGGGGGGGGAGTGGTGACAAAAGGGTTAAGGGTTAAAGAGTTTAGAAGGAATGGAGTGGGCGGAGGGGGAGGAAGAGGGAAAGAGAGAGAGAGAGAGAGGGAGGGAGAGAGAGAGAGAGAGAGAGAGAGAGAGAGAGAGAGAGAGAGAGAGAGAGAGAGAGAGAGAGAGAGA